CAGAAAGATTAACAAATACACAAGAACGACTGTTGCTACATTCGACGAGCTCCTTAGCTTGGTGACGGACGAGGTGTACAAACAAAGTACTAATTTCAGACCCTCAATCTCTCCAGAAGAAAGACTCGTCATGACAATAAGGTAACTGAGTAAAATGATAGTTTGCTTAGTTCTTTTTTAGTATTATAACTGCATATAATCAGGAGCAAATAAATTATAAACTCCTCCATTGAAACCATTTTACGCAATTTAATCCTTTTCAATAATTTGGCTTCTTTTCTTCATGCCATAAGTTGTACACCAATTCTTGAACTTTAATTTTGAATAAACTCTGTTTTTTCTTTATCATGCATTGTGTGTCGTGCAGTTCGATTTTAATATTTACATGAGTTGCATTCTGTCCCTACCGCTGGCAAGTGATAAGGTCATTATTATTATTCCCTCACAATTTGTAACCAAACAAAATTGAACCGGACATGATTTGTTTCTTATTGTCAACCGTATTCTGCAGCGAGACAGTGTCGAACACCTAAAAATGCAAGCTAACTGAATTGTGTTGTAATATTTTATTATTGCAATGCCTATACTAACTTGCGCTGAAATACATGCATTTGATGCTCCTAAGGTGCTCGATTGAAAGCAAAATTGATTTCATCAAGACTCGATTGAATTGAATTTATAAAAACTCAATATAAAGTTCAATTCGCCTGCTGCAGAGCTGCCTGGTATATCACCCATATTTATAGAATGCTTGCTGGTATTTGACAGTCTCTTTAATTACGACGTTTTTGGGGAAGCATGGAAAAATGCAGCAAATACTCATGATGGGAAATCATATTTTTGTCACATACCAACCGCATTCTTTTGTATCATTGAAATATTAAATTCACAATCTGACGTTTACGAACCTAATCTTAAGTAAAGTATCTGATTCACAACCGGTTACTTTTTATTTACCTCGCAATGAAATAGCACTAGTCACAAAACTGATAATGTATGCGAATATGTTACCATTTCTTTGGCGCCTTAAAGTAAAATGTATAGTAAGCGACTGGTCCATAATATCCAATATTATTTAAACTCGATTTTGGACTATTCATTCGTACATGATATTGTGCAAAATAAAATCATTACTGAATTTTCCTTGTAAATAGAAATAAATATCGTACTGTTATTTGTTATATACCATTCCAGTGTGGAGCTGGTCCTCCCAAGGCATCATCTCTCTGCCGTAGGCGCTCCGCAGATGTTTCAGAAGACACCAAATATTCGGGTGTTGTACCACGAGCCTAACGCCGCGCACCACACGTCAGCTTGTAGGGATGTTCATGCTGCTGCGGATTGCATTGAGTTGTCAATCACCAACATCATTCAATGGATATAATATCTCCATCAGAAGTTAGGGTCAGACTAGGAGACATAATCAACCGCAACTGGAAATTCTCATTTACATTTATATTTTAATTAACATGAGGTTCGTAAGTTAATAAATATCCTTTCAGCGCGAACAGTTTTAACGGCGTAGAAGCCTTCATTAATAAGCATACTATGTATTTTCATAACCTTACTTGCGGCAGTGAATTATTTAATTTGTTTCTGTTATGAAGTCGTAAAATTTGCAGTGACACATCCCGCATGTCATTACATGTAAACCCGAAAATTACTGCACAGCTGCTCTTTACAATAGATTTTTCGCAAATTAGGAGAATTGAAGTTTCAAGATTCAAGCGGATGAAGCCTGACCACGGTGAAAATTCCCCACCGCAGTTTATCAGTTTGAAACCAGCATAATTTCTCTGTATACTGAAGAACGCCATAGCATTATCGAGGAGCAACCGAATGAACAACCTTATATAGCGTTATCGACTGACAGCGCGAAATACACTGATTTTTAAATTAGATCTTTGGGTTGAACTATTTCACAATTTGCGATGTGGTAGCTCAACTGAACGCATTTTTTCACACCTCGTTGGTTTGCTTCTTCCTTCAACAATTTCTTCCTTCAATAATTATGCACATTTCTTTTTCTAGTACGCTCACTAATCGAGGGTTTTAATGCTTCATTATATGGAATCTTTATCAACATTCAAGATATCTACATTTTACATCGCTACATCTTTTCTCATCTGCATCTTTTCTTGACACAGCTTGTTCAGCGGCAGAGGTACAGTAGCCATGGGCTCAGTGGCAACGAATTCAGCTGCGAAGGTACAGTGGCATTGGGCTCATTGGCAACGGCTCCATGGTAACGATTCAGTGGGGGCGCATTACATGAATTTATTTAGGATATTACGACAAGGACTTCGATTGTAGTTATATAAAACTAGTATGAAACTTATTCCAATGGCACTTTGCAATTTAGGCGTCTATATTAGTATTCACCTATGACTTATACTTTGAATAAAATACTTAAAAAAATATATTCACCTTTAATATTCACCTATGACTTATACTTTGAATAAAATACTTAAAAACAAACTTTTTAAAAAACCACGTTTTTCTTGTGGACTAAAAAGTAGAAAATAAATTATGGCTCGCCCCAAAAACGTGGCTCGGGCTCAACGTTCACCATCAAATTTCCAAAATTCGTGTGCTTTTCGCTTTAATCATAAATCTGCCCGACACACGTTTTTTGGGGCGAGCCATAATTTATTTTCTACTTATTAGTCCACAAGAAAAACGTGGTTTTCTAAAAAGTTTTTTTAAGTATTTTATTCAAAGTATAAGCTAAATATAGAATTAAAATCTAATTTTGGAATTCTAGATCCAATATTGGTTCACTTGCTCTTCCAGAATTCCAATCTGCATCTAACCAAGTGCGGTTAAGCCTAAAACTGCATCTGTGGAAAGTTTTTTGGGCCTAGAGAACCACCAAACGGAATACTAATTATAGGTATTTTATTTAAGTGAAACATCAAGATAAATTGGCAAAATGCAACGGAACACTTCTTTAAGAGTACGATTGAAAGCCATATTGCTGCTTATAAGGCAATGCATAATCAGTAAATGGTAATTATTTCAAGTAATAGAGAAGTCGCTAGGGCTACTTTCCGCTTCTTAATTAATACGAATTAAATTGCCGTCGAACTAAGGCGCTAAATATTTCCGTATATATAGCTCAACATGGACATAGCATCGATTGGGCACAAATGTAAATAAAGCAGCGCTTGATTTAATCTTCCGGTGTAAATCTAACTTTGCTCAAAGTTTTATGCCCAATGAAGAATGTTGGTGGTTGTCAACTCGATGCATTTCGTATAGGGGTAGCAAGCTGACTTTAGGTGAGCAGCGTTAGGTTCGTGGTACAGCTTCCGAAGACGGATCCTATTCTTAAACAGCTGACGAGCTCCTGCGTCTGTGAGACGATCCCTCGGGAGGACAAGCTCAAAACTGCAATGATATTTAACCAATAACAATNACTATCGAGGAGCAACCGAATGAACAACCTTATATAGCGTTATCGACTGACAGCGCGAAATACACTGATTTTTAGATTAGATCTTTGGGTTGCACTATTACACAATTTGCGATGCGGTAGCTCAACTGAACGCATTTTTTCACACCTCGTTGGTCGATTTATGGCATGTAGAGAGGAGTTGCAAATTTTCAATTCCACTCCACAATCAATTTATGATACCTTTTCCTACCGGATTTAACGCTCAAAAAATAACCTATTTTCACAACTCTCCACGGCAACACATACTTGTTATGCGGTCAACAACGTGCTAGGCTAAGCCGTAATTAGGCAACCATCTACGGATGGATGACAGCTGCCTTCTGGGAAGAAGAATAAACTCTTGCGAGATAAAACTTTTATTAAGAAATATATTTAAAGATTCACGTTACCTTTGTAAATTCACAGAAAATATTCCATGCGCAGAAAGAAAGAATCTGAAAACCACAGTCCTTTTTCACTCGTGTCCCAGAACAGAATGTCGACACGAGCAATAACCTATTAATTGTTGCAGGAACCGGAACTATCCTATATATGCACTATTAGAACGTACCTTTCACGTGTCAACTCGTCTCTCATTGCTTCTTCCTTCAACAATTTCTTCCTTCAATAATTATGCACATTTCTTTTTCTAGTACGCTCACTAATCGAGGGTTTTAATTCTTCATTATATGGAATCTTTATGAACATTCAAGATATCTACAATTTTACATCTCTACATCTTTTCTCATCTGCATCTTTTCTTGCCACAGCTTGTTCAGCGGCAGAGGTACGCAGTAGCCATGGGCTCATTGACAACGGTTCTATGGTAACGATTCAGTGGGGGCGCATTACGCGAATTTATTTAAGATATTACGACAAGGACTTCAATTGTAGTTAGATAGAACTAGTATGAAACTTGTTCCAATGGCGCTTTGCAACTTAGGCGTCTATATTAATATTCGCCTATGACTCAACTCTTCGAAGTTTGTGTACAATCTTTAATAAGAGGCTGCGACGGGTATTCAATTATTTTTACATGATTATGGGCACAAACTTTTATTTATTCCTATGGGAAAAGAGAAATGCACAGGAGGCGCTGACCTGTTTGTGGCGAGCATCGCGCACAGGAACAGGTAAAATAAAATTGAATAATATAATTTAAACAATAGTTGGGTCCTTTTAATAGGCCAGTTACTTGACTAAAATTCTCCAATAGAGAATGCGACTCCAGGAGGATGGTCTCATGGTGCTGCTGGAAGCGGTTATGTAAAACTACGAGGGAAGCAAAGGACAAAACGGCGAAATCTGAACATAAAAAGCCAAATCTCTACCCAGAACATGAGCTCGCCTGATGATTGATCTTAAATCTCATCAGGCTCTGATATGGCTGCAGGCAAACAATTCAACAGACATCATCAATTGTACGGTCGAATAATATCATTGATTAATATTTAGCCAGGATGAAATTCTTGGAATGGTGGTACGCATATTCAAGGTCAATACAGCCCGGTAACTTGATCATTTTCAAAGTATAAGCTAAATATAGAGTTAACATTCATCTAACCAAGGGCGTTTAAGCCTAAAACGGCATCTGCGGAAAGTTTTTTGTGCCTAGAGAACCACCAAACCGAATACTAATTATAGGTAAATTCTTATTTAAGTGAAACATGAACATAAATTGGCAAAATGCAACGAAACGCTTCTTTAAGAGTACGATTGAAAGCCATATTGCTGCTTATAAGGCAAAGGCAATGCATAGTCCTTAAATCGCAATTATTTCAAGTAATAGACAAGTCGCTAAGCCTACTTTCAGCTTCTTTATTAATACGAAACTAATTGGCGTAGAACTAAGACGCTAAATATTTCAGTATATCGAGCTCAATATGGACATTGCATCGATTGGGCACAAATGTAGATTAAAGCTGCGCTTGATTCAATCTTCCAGTGTAAGTCTAACTTTGCTCAAAGTTTCATGCCCAATGAAGAATGTTGGTGGTTGTCAACTCGATGCATTTCGTATAGGGGTTGCAAGCTGACTTTAGGTGAGCAGCGTTCGGTTCGTGGTACAGCTTCCGAAGTCTGGTCCTATTCTTAAACAGCTGACGAGCTCCTGCGTCTGTGAGACGATCCCTCGGGAGGACAAGCTCAAAACTGCAATGATATTTAACCAATAACAATACAATATTTTCTATAAAATTAAATCAGATACAGTCGTAATTTCATTTGCTTATTATTACGTGCAAGTGAATAGTCGTAAAAATAGACAAGCTTCAGAAAAGATAATAATAGATGAAATAGACCAGCCACTTACTATACATAAGGCGTAGAATATAAGTAAAATGCTAACTTTATAGCGTATAGGGTCAGTTTTATTAAGTGGCAGGGTGGAGAATCAAATACTGTATGTAAGCAAAAGTTCATCAATGCCAGATAGAGAAACCAGGATTTCAAGGAAACAAAAGGTTAGGTGGATTACCGTGGATACATGACAAAGGTGGATACACGACAAGAATTTCCCATAATTAGTATTTTCCTAATTTTGCCTTAACTGTTTCAGCTTCGACAAAAAATTTTGGTATAGAGATTGTCAATTACTAGCAAAAATTCTAATCATCATGGTTATACGGGCCAGAGTTGCAAATTCACCTATTTTCCCGCTAAATCTCGCGTATTTTCAACTCATTCAGAGGGAAAAGTTTGTCTTAGCTGAAAAAAAATATATGTAAAATGCAGGTAAAATGATCTTTATAGCTACAAATTTTGAATGTTTAATGTCTTTTCACTTGAAAATACCAGGTTTTAACATAAAAGTCATTTAAAAAGTTGTCAACACAATTACGAACAGCCTTGCATTGATTTTGCATTGAGTTTTTATGCATTTTATTTGTACTGAGCCATGATTTTGTGAACTTTGAATAAAAGCAATAAAAAGCAATGGAATCGGAAGCAATAAATGAATTACTCGAAAACTTACGGTGCGAGTATACTTATGCATTGGAATAATAAGTTCGCATTCTAGTTCGCTTTCATTATTAAGTTTTGTGACAGCTATTTATGATGATACCGTCGCGCAGCAGCGTACGATTGACAGGCGGTAACATTCAAGCACATGTCTAGAATAAAAATGTTTTAAAATGTTTTTGTTTATTTAGTATAGTATAGTAGTATAGTATCTTCGGCATTAAAGAATAGGCCTGGATAGGCCTGTCGCCGATTCTTGTACTTTTCTTGACTAGACTGGCCTTTTGATCAGATCTTTTCAACGGACGGTGGATTTAAAATCGCTTCTAGATATCAGTTGTTCCGTAGGGTACGAGGCATTTTAAGACTGAACATGTGCTCATGCATGGCCTCGTCTAGTCTGTTCTTGAACGCGTTCTTACTCGGAGCGTCAACAATATCTTCAGGGAGGCTGCTCCACATGTCAGTGACTCGAAGCGAGAAGAAATGTTGTCGCGTGGATAAGTTGCACCGCAGTTTTTTTAGTATATAGCTGTGGCCCCTGATGTTGGTTTTTGTTTCAAATTCTAGTAATCCTTCTGGGACCTTGTATAAACCATGAGTATACTTGTATACTTCAATGAGATCCCCACGCAGGCGACGATAACGGAGACTGGGAAGCTTCATAATCTTCAATCTTTCTTCATTTCTTCATAAGACTTGCCCTTTAATCCTTCAACCGTGTTTTCTCATGCTGTAAGCTTGCTGTTCATTGTTCTTGCCGAGGTGAAGTACTTTACACTTGTCAGCATTGAAACGCAGCTGCCACGCATCAGCTCAGTCAACTAAACTATCAAGATCATTTTGCAGTTGCATTTTATTTGACGCATCCTTAACTGTATTATAAACTTTTGTGTCATCTTCATACATGGAGCACACGCTTGACACTACTACTTGTAGATCGTTTATAAAAGCGACGAACAAAACAGGTCCAAGAACGCTTCCTTGCGGTACGCCACTGCGCACAGTTACCCAGTCTGATACGGTTCCGTTAATGCTGACACGTTGTCTTCTGCCTACTAGGAAATTCCTGATCCATTGGAGTACATTTTCCTCTATTCCCAAAGAATTTACTTTACGTAACAGTCGCTCATGCGGAACACTATCAAATGCCTTGGCAAAATCGTGGTACAGTGCATCCACTGGCACCCTTTCGTCCAGCAGGCAAGTCCAATTATTCAAGGTAGACAGGAGATTAGTGGTCCATGATCTGCCAGCAATAAAGCCATGCTGACAGTCTGATAGAAGATGGTTAACAGTCAGGTGATCTATAATCCTATCCCTCATAACCGATTCCATCACCTTACACACAACACTTGTGAGACTTACAGGACGGTAGTTACCTGGGTTACTCCTGTCACCTTTTTTGAACAGGAGTGTCACTTGGGCTTCTTTCCAGTCGGCCGGCAAAGTCCCTTCGATTAAGGTTTTTCGAAAGAATACTGTTAAAGGGCCGGCCATGACGGTTGCTAATTCGTTGAGCAATCTAGGGTGGAAACCGTCTGATCCAGATGACTTGTCTGCAGACATAACTATGTTCTTGATGAATGGCCAAGACTCCGCCACATTCATGATCATGATTCAGTCCGAAATGTTCGCTGCACTCACTGATTCGCGAAGTTCAACATAGTCGCCTTTCGCAAAGTTGAAACGTTCACGCTTCCGAGGTATCTTTTCTGTATAGCACTTAATACTGAAAAACAATGACTGGTGGTGACTTATGCCCAACGGAGCCTCTTGGCGAAGCTCTTCTACCATTGATTCTTCACTAGTTAACACTAGGTCTCTAACTCTAACCAACTCTAACCAAGATAATAATGATAATAATGACAGAATCACATGCACATTTGTAAAGTTGGCATGCATGCTATGTGCTTATCGTACTGTGCAACACGTACGCTGGATCATAGTAGTCATAATACTCTGCCAGGATGGATGACATCCAGTTCACGTCCTCGTCTCTGAGATCAGGGAAGTGCCAGCGGGTGACCACACAACCGCGGGCCTTCAAGGTCTTGCCGATTTCTCTCGGAACGCTTCTGACGCAGCACACATTTTCTGTTGGGCGAATTGCACCAAAATCGAAATTTTACGCAATTATTCATCGATCATATTTGTATGAACGTCTTAATGATCATAATTTGTATGAACGTCTTAATGATCATATTTGTATGAACGTCTTGATGATCATATTTGTATGAACGTCTTACAAATATGATTTTACAATTTCTCGTATATATGAAGGAAACCCCTCGTTCAGCCAACAAGAAAGATCTTTCACACTTCCTCGCGGTCCAATGTTTTTTACTGGATGGAAAATTTTCTAGTCAAACAGATATTTCGTTTATATAATCGATTGCATAATCATATTATGATATATGAGATTTAACGATATAGCAATACTCCAATAATAAACACCTAAACTTTGATTGCTAACAAAATTCTATTTCTAAACCGCTCTTTTAACTTTACTTTGCATGGGTCAATTCTGAGCCCATCAGCAAAAGTCTTTTTGTTCTGAGGCTTCAAATCTATCCAAACACATTACCAATCTACATTAATATTTAAGATCGAAAATAAGAACAGGATTACGTGTAAAATTTCTTTCTCCACGAACGCGTTAATTTATTTAAACACCGGATGGTGACCAAAAATTAATGTCTATTCAATTTCTAGTTAATCTAGCCGGTGAACTGGTTGAAAAACACGCGGCTTCAAAAATACAGCCTTTCAGAAAGCCTAAAACATTATAAAACAATAAACATCATGAAATCATGGATTACTCACCAATGCGACGTGCCAATCTGCGAGCACGAATCAAATCGGCACAGCAGTCGAAACGAACGTTGTAGTCGCAAACTGTCCGATATTGTGCTCGCCTGTGTGCCATGACTTGGATGGGGGTGCCGTACACGGTAGTCAGCTTTCTCCTGTCATCACATGGCGGTTTGAAATGATTCTTGTAAAGTAAATATAAGGATATGCCATGTGATTATATTATAATATTTAAATTCATAATTCAAAGATTTTTAATATATAATGTATATATTCCCTAGATTGATGTTTCATATTCATTTCGGGACTTTCTGCAATAAATAATTTTTCAAGATAAGAAATTTCATGGTGGCAGCCTATCATATATTTTAGGCTGTTTTCATTTGTGATTTAACTGCAGCAAATTAAGATGGATGAATTTACTATTTCTATTGAAATCTTCAGTGTGAGGAAAATAAGTTAATATAATAAATGAATTCAGTAAGTTTAATTGATAGTTTTTTTTTTACTTAATTCAACATGACTTTAGCAAAACCATTAAATGAAGATATACTACATTTTTCATGACAGAATATATTTGCGCCTGTCAGGATCAAGTCTGAACTGCAGCTCATAAATAGTTTAATCTATTTATTTCTGGCGCCATAGCGATAATTTTCGAGGAAACGCGCCTCACCCAAACTTTTCGATGATGGCTCCCATGCCGTGACCCGACTGTCCTGCCGGCCTCCAGAAGGAGTCCAGGGGCAGCAGGCTGATGTCGCCAGTGTGGTGGGCGGCGAGGCGGGACAGCAGCTCCCCCAGCCCCGGGATGGGGCGGGTGTGGGTGGACAGCACCACGAGGCGACTGGGCTTCCTATTGTTGGCCAGGCTTGCGAGAGCTCGCTCTCCTTCATCACTGCTGGTAACTATCCAGCGTTCATCGGGCGGCATGAGCTTACACGTTTGTGACTGTTGAGCGTTGAACATTTTTTAACAACACATTCTGTGAATTTATCATCGATCATTTGATTAATTTCCAACAAATTCACTTCATTTATAATTTTATTTAGTTCTGTTCCAACAGCTGACTAATACTAGAATGTTGAAGCACCTAACAAAAAAGTTCAGAACTCAACTGGAGCGATGGACTGGTTTATGACAATAGTGACAACATTACGGGCCAGAAGGGTGGTTGAGATGCATGGGTGGGTTATTAGAGTCTGCGAGGGCACGTTATCGTCAGAAAGAATGTGACTAAGTTACAAACAGCTGCGTTTCGTACCGTAACAAAAATAAAATTCTCGGCACCCTTACCACACATACACTCCAACGTCTTCAATCATATTCGGGCAGAGAAACTTTCCAACGAGAGTAAAGTAAAGACGTTGCAGCGTCATGCTATCGCTAAACTTGTACTGACAGTGAATCAAGAGTGGTTTGTAATACGGTATTTAATCTCCTTTGATTTCTTTCAAGTTAATCAATATGAGCATGAGTACAAGTTCACATAACTAATTTTTGTTTTCATTTTCACTTCTACGCGTACAAACTCGAAACCATAAATTTTATTAAACGCATTCCAAATTTTTGCCTCCGTGGCATGCAAGATTTTTCCTCCAGATTATGTAATATCTATACGATTTCCAACGTGCTTTTGCGTGCCATTCAAGATTATTTGATTCTCTTCATTAAATTTGCGTCGTGTATAATTTACATAAATAACTAAGACAGTATCCATTTCATAGTAACCATTTTCAGACAGTTATGTAATTTCACTCACCTCTAATGAAGCCCATTTCATGCTGGCTGCATCCAACCTCGCTTTGATTTTTTTTATCTTTCTATTTTCTTCAGATTTCAGTTTAAGCTGACTGAGCATTCCCTTCAATTTTTGTCTCTTGTTCTCGTCCGTCACTCTTGTCTCATCTGCCCAGACCTCGAGATCTTGCTCGGTCGATACTTTCTGGGCCTTCCAGCCCTCAAAATCAATCTTCAGGCTGAGGATTTCTTTAGCCAAACCAAAGATATCATCTGACAAGGAGACAAAACTACTCACGCTTTGAAAGTTTCTCTGCATCGTGGACCGTATTCTTGACCACGAGTCCACTACGGATGCTGGATGACCTGCTTCATCCTCCTGAAGCAGGTCATCCAGCAACTCAATTTTGTGCGCTACGTGTGTCTCCCTGGTGCACGTGCAGCACAAGAGCTCCATGCAGTCGACGCAGAAGTAATCCTGCGCATTCTGGTGATGGGGGCACGGAGTCTCTGACTGTTTATGGAGGCAAAGTTGACGAGGCTCACTCCCAGATGGAATTAATTCATAATTCACCACCATTTGATCAATTGGTTGCGATGTTCGCTTCCTGCAATTTGGGCAGACTCTGCCGTGAAAATTAGCGGGTAAACGTAGAATGCAATACAAGCAAAATGTGTGCCCGCAGTTCAGGCAGAGCGGCTTGTGGTCGCCAGAGTCGTACTCTGCGAAACAAATTTTGCACTCCAGCGTTGCGGTGGCCATGTTGATGAGCAACTGTATTCCACTTTATTTCATAAAATGATTTCAATAATAAATTCGTTTCATTAAGTGATCTCGATCCAATCGTTTCATAAATCTTAATTATTGTATACTGATAATCGATACAACTGACGTGCCTGATAGGAAAATAATTTCTTTAAACTACTGCTTCCCGCAACGTATTGAGTTCTTTAAAAAAACTTACGCGTGGAAACTGCAGTGAAAACTCGAATGAAAGACGTTGACGCCAATGTTCATTTCCTTCTATCTTAGGAAAGGGTACCCACACAGTGAAAGCAGGTTTGTCCGCGCGGGCAACCTGCTCCAACCTGCTCCAACCTGCCACATGAATGAAGATAGGATAATAATCTAAGTGTTCACAGTGAAAACCTGTACGAATAGGCAAGCGCCAGGCATATTTATTTCAATTTCAGGAGCCAGCCTAAGCAGGTAACCAGCACGCTGGCAACCTGCTTTCACTGTGTGGGTACCCAAATGCTTTATGAGCCACCTTCGTTTGACATCCTAAAAACCTGCGGGACATCCTAGCGCCTTGAGTTCACTTGAGTGTCTTCTGCCTTCTAAAAACTACGACACTTTCCCATGCCAGATGGTACTTATGATGAAGCAATACCTGCGAGACGAACAAGTTTTGCCCACATCAATGAAAATTTGTTCAAGCCACTTTCTTTCCCTGTACTCCGATACTCTATTTCTTTACAGTAAGCCCTCCCAATTACTATTGTATGTATACTATTCCAAATTACTTTAGATCTATTCATTCAAGCCATGACTTGAGAAGACCATGCAAAACGCGCATCTTTTGGCAACGAACTCACAAATTTCTCTCTCAAACTCTTACTTGTGTTGGCATCGTATAAACTAAGGATAAGCAACTCGGTAAATTCCCTCTGCTAAATAGGAAGATTGACTCATCGTGATCTAACTTAGCCTGCTGTAACCTCTATCTATTGTTTTCCTTAATAATTTCCTTTGTGTCTTCATACCAACTCAATATCTTCTGCTTCATTTCCCGGTAACCCACTCCAATTAAGTCACTTAAAATTCTTGAGAGCCATCAACCTTTCTCCTTCGAGGAGCTTCGAGTCTAGCTCATCAATCCACAGAGATTTTTCTCCTCTAAAAGTGTTTTCACAGTAGCATTCAAATTTCCGCAAGAAACTTCTCATGCCTAAGCTACCATCAAAATCAAACTTCGAAATTGTGAGTTACTTTCTCCTATCCCACGTACTCGCCTAAATGATGAAACAAAACGTCCATTTCCACTTCCTTATTCCTACCCAACCTCCTAAGCTTCCTTTCCTTACTGGTCTTAAGTTTCCTATCACAGGAACTGCCAGTTTTCTCAACGTCTGATGCTTCATCACTGCTTGATGTTTCTAGTAAGGATGATACCACAGATGAACTTTCTGAATCGTTCGGCACATCTACATTACGCTTTGATACAGCACCAGTTCTACTAATAATAGTTGCGTCACCTTTACTAGCCAATTTCGTATCTATGTTAAAAGATTTAACCTACCCACTTTTTCCTTAAAATCACGTAGCCTTTTCTCTGCCCTGTGAGACAAATTGCCCAAGTCATTATAACCTATTCTGTCGATAAAAGTCTCTAGAAAATCTATATTCTCGTTTAAACTCTTCCTTCCATGTCTACAACAGGTACAACCTTAGCAGCGCAGTCCCTTTTGAAAGAATTCACATGGTTTCCTCAAAACGCGGTTATGCGAAGTCAAGCAATAACTAAGAAAACTTGAAATATAACTGATCACTACTCACAGTCACACTGCAAAATCTACAATTGCTCACCATCTATGAAACTAAGAGACCCCGAACTATACGATGACGTACAACCAATCCCACTTGGATGTGGATTGGAACTACAATGTTTACACATGAAACACCGTGAACAAAAATTTCTCCACCAGCACACTAATCTACCTATATATGGACACTAGCAAAATCAGAGATAACGACAAGAGAGGTCACTGCACCAATATGTCACGGGGGCCAGTATCAACTGAATGTAACGTGAGACTTTATCCTATCCGCAATACCCACACCACTGTTCGTCACACATTTTGCCGTTTAACACCGAGTCACCCATGGTTGAATCTACTAGTTCAACCATGGAGTCACCGACAAGAGAATCAAATATATAGCTTTCATTCAATGACAAGGTTAACAGAGCGTGTGCGAGTTGAAGTCAGGTCAAGACTTCGGAAGTCTCTTTGTACGAAATAAAACTATCACAGACACTAAACTTACGCAATGGGTCATGCCTAAAATTATATCATAAAAAATAAAAAGACCTCTTCACATCTATAGCTGTACAGGTTGACATCACACTAACATATTCCAGGTCACAAGAAAACACAACGATCTTGGACCTACTTGAAAATATCAAATGATTCAGTGTGCAGTATACACCGGTTCGGAATGGTGGCACAGATCGAGGATTACTATCGACAGCCACTATTCCGCACTAAAGAGTCGATCCGGCAACATCGCACAGACATCCGATTCGTTTTGATCAAAACTGATCAATGTAATAAACGTCTATAAAAGGTCTACTTCCCTCCTCTACATTATAACCAATCGAAATTCGGTCAGGAAAACGCCTTGTGTCGTTATTCTAATTCTGATTTACCATGTGTTAAATTTGATGACAACGCAATTTAGGTAGCAAAATCAAAGCACTGATGTAATAAGTAATTTTGTCGTAAAAGCCAATTATCTCTTTGTACATTTTCATAGCGTGAAAACTGCATAAATTTGCCTCTGCCGTTCACCTTATTGCTTAACGTAAAACTTCATACACGATAAACCTGAAAATGATACTACGGCATTATACCTCCAGACGAGCCAATTCACTCACCTCGCACTACTCGCTAGCTGCATTCAGCTTGGTTTTGAATGCCAATTTTAAATTTCTAGCTTGTGTCGTTCCATCAGAGGCAAGTCGAAACAAACAAAAATTTTAATTGTTTATTAAATATTACTGTATTTGAGGGCCTTCATTGCCTCCCAGCTGGTCTAACATTTGTTTCTTCCAGTCAATAACTTGGCGGGCAATTGGTATCATCGAGCCTAGGATTTCCAAGGATCTAGGGACACGGGAATCATTCGACTGGCGTTTCATCAGAACCTCGGGTTGCTGCTGCTAATGTGTCTTCAGATGCAAGAGGTGCAGCGGTCGCATCCGTAGAACCGTCAGATCTCTCAGATCGCGGCTCTGCGGCATCACGGCCCTCCCCCGGCGACACGATCTCTGTATCCACGTTGACAGGCGCGACGGTCTCCCGAATTTCTTTTTCTAGCGTCGAGAGATCGGCCGGGTAGGCGAGCCCCAGGGCGGAGCACAGCGCCACAGCGGCGAAGAACAGGACTTTGTGCATCTGCAAAATGAAACTAATTTTTGTGACTTTTTCTATTAATTACAAAGTTATAATAAGATGGGATTTAAATACGTATATGTATATTAAAAACACTAATATTAAATAAAATAATTTAACGGTGATATTGGTAACCAGGTTAAATGTTTTGCCTAGGTCACTCATAGAGAACGTCTGCAGTCATGTGCTCGCGGATGTCAAGTTTGTTAACAGCTGCTCGCCGCGTGTATCATAACAGTCAGTGAACTGGTTTAGGGTGTTAAACTACATAATTGAAGGAATTAAGACAGAAAAAAATGAACGCAACTGCTCCTAATTTACACCTTTCCATACACAAACAAATTTGTGGGATGAAAAAGGGCTCGTTCGAATCATGACGATTCGAATGAATTCGAATTGTATATACGAGTAGGTATGAATCTCGAAAAATTTAGTAAAGTTATTGATATGGCGTGAATAATGCTTATAGACCGCCATTTTGTTTTCTATTTAAATGTAAATACAAATGAACATTACACGTAACTCACTTTAGTAAAGTAGCGGAGGAGATGATGCTCGTGTTGATGCCGGAATACAAGTGTTGTATGGGAGGCAGCGGTTCTGTTATATAGCCCAATTGTGCATGATTCATAAAGCCCGTCACGCGTTACCGATGTGATCCTGTTTCAAGGCGAGCGATGAATATATTTGAGATGTCACGGAATATGAAACGTAATTCATTATGTGCACTCACCGTTCGTTCAGTATACGTACCTGGGGCCATACTTTCAAAACTCGCTAAGTGAACGTAAGTACTTACGCTCTATTTTCGTGTTCTATGATTGGTGGATTTTGCTTTAAAGGCGGTCAATGATTGGCTGGTGAACTTACGATCTCTTAACTTTTTTGAAAGTATAGGCCCAGGTACTGCCTACCGCGTGCTGACTCAGTACACAATATTTGCAAATTTTTACTATGAATAGCTAATATGTCGAGTCACGGGCTTAAATAAGCCAAAAATTAAGTTGGACAAATTTTCAACAAACAGATAGAAACCCATACATTTTTCCCAGCTAACTTCTATAAGAAATCGGCCCAAATAAATGAATTTGGTCACAAAATGTATTGTCTGGGACCACTCCTTCAGCTTAATTGAGAGCCTAAAACATGGGAGAATCAATCTTAACCTCATGCAACTCTACAACACCGAGCTGACCTGTGTACTCGATAACGGTAAAATTGTTATTTACCTAAACTCTAGTTCATGAAGCTGATTGCAGAAGAGAACAGAAAATGAGCGGATATCTTGAACAAATGTACAATACGAAAATGCGCACAATTACTGCACTTATTCTCAACGAAACTTGTATTGAAGCTTTTTTACCTACTGCCTAGATGGACGCACATGCTCACTCAAATGCAGTGGTGGGCACAGTCCGCTAATCCGCTAACCGCTAATTAGCGATGCTGACGTTTTCCATTACCGGTGTGCCACTCTGATGACCGAATAAGTCAACATATGTACGTCAACCAACAAATGTACGGTGGGCCCAGTCCGCGGATTAGCGGAGATGGGACCAGTGACTGCCCACCTCTGCTCAAATGGAACTCATCGCAAAAGACCGGTATATTCAAGATCTCGATGTGTTAGGAGAGCTGTGATGAATGCATAACTCTCGTTACTGAAACAGGGATCGATACGAAATTATTTCCGAACGCAAAATCCGGAAAATACGAAATCATGTGTAGGATTAGAGTTTATATCAAAAATATTCATCATGCAATAGCAAAGCCAGTGACCCCATGGAAGACTTGAGATGTAACGACCGCTTCCACAGGTTCTTGCAGGGATTTTGTAGTTTCATCAAATAGCAGCGAAGCTTTCGTCGTTTTGCCAACCTTTAAAGTTGGTACTTTTTCCTAACCTAGGGTATCTAACGGTCGAGAAGCGCGACTTACCGAAACTTGAAGCAGATTCATCAGCATGTTGATGTTGGCTACCCTCAGCAAAGAAGAACTAAAGGAAGGCCAGAACATACTGAACAGATTTAAACAGCAAAATTGTGCTTAAATTCGCAGTGTACCAGAGATTTCTTGTAAAATACTGAACAGATTTGAACGAAACTTTGCATATAGAAACCCAACCTCCCAACGGTGATGTTTAGCTCGTGACAATTTTTTCGATTTTGCCTTCGTTTGCGAGTTATACGGAGAAACGACCGGCCTTTCTCAGGCCGATTTTTGAACTTGCATTGACCAATAGCCATATACGTAAAGCCGTATAACTCGCAAACGAAGGCAAAATCGAAAAAAGTGTCACGAGCTTGACATCACCGTTAGGCCATAATGAATATGTGTGCCAAGTTTATCGAGCTACGTTCAGTACTTTGGGTGATATTTCAGGTGATATTTCAGTCCGCGGCCGCGAGACCGGCCGCAAGTACGGCCGTAAATTTGTCGAATTTTTGGAGCGATTCACCGGAAGTAGTATCGCTCCCCGGCAGAACTTCTGCCCAGTCGCCTGGACGATGTCACCCTCAGCGGGTGAAGGCTGTGAATTGGAGTGAAGCTCAGAGTCCCCGACCGCGCTAGTAGAGTGACATCAGGGGTAGGCAAAGGAGCCTTTGGCCCTGAGCCAACTACTGTAGGCCCTTATTGTCTGACTGTTCATGAAGCAATGTGTAGAATTTAGTTATGAATTTTCTTGTCTCGTTGTTATAGTTAAAATTGTGAGTTACTCTACAGCATTGCAAATAAAAATTGATACGGATATATCCATATAGGTCAACAAGAAACATAGTCTTAACTGTTCAGCGCCATTACGCCGTCCTATTCCACAAGATCATTGTTATGTGTCCATATAACTTAGAAAATAATTATTAATAACTCCAAGACCTTTTAAGATACCGATGAATATGACGCAGGAATGCAAATCTAAATTTACATTTTGCTTGATACTGCTAAGGCCTGCTTGTGAGTTATGTTTCATGGTAGCTCTTTTACTTTAGAAGCTGTTCATGTACCTATAGTCAATTCAAATGAGCTTCTCCCTTTGACTATTCGTCAGCTTACATTTATTTTAAATTATACACTCGTGAATCATCGAATCTCCAGGCACATTAGTGTACGCATCTGGAATTTTTTGAAGAATGTTCACGCACGTGTGGTGCTGGAATATTTCCGAGCTTCCCCTACGCCTATTTTTATCTCTACATCCTGGACCAGATTGTTAAATTATCTGAAGAATAGCTGGCAGAGCATATTAATTCAGTCTGGAGGCGTACTACACGGATGTTTCAAATCTGTCTCGTATATGTGACGGATCTTAATCATATTTCAATTTTGTAATATGATCGATCGTTTGACTGGTACATTTACTGGCAAACACTAAACGGACTTCCGATACACAAGTTTCAAAGTACGGAATAAATTCTAGTGACTGCTAAAGAAATTGTTCGATATGCCGGTGTTAGGTCAGAATAACGAGGAAACTCGTGCACATGCAGCCAAACCTCGGCGAGCACTCGAATTGTGACTTTAAGATTTATTGATCCAAGTTTCTGATTTTAGAAGCTTCTTTATGTCTTTTAGTCAACTCCGTAATACGAAGAATAATTGATTTAAATATATTCCTCAAGATGGCTGTAGTACATATTCTGAATGTAAAACACAGCTTCAGGCATCATTTTGTGAGTGCCACAATCGTTCATTTAACACAGGAAGACAAATTAAATTTTCTTGACTCGTTCCGATGATGTTGAGAACGCGGCACTGAACAAAAATAAAACGATTTTGTTGGAGCGTTGAGGTAAATATTTGTTGAGAATAAAACAATATTCATCAGAATTACTTTTTTGTCTGTCGTACCAAACTATTCGTTACCAACTCGCACTTCTCATAAATGATGTGCCACTAATTCTGACAGCGGTCTCATACGATAGGAAACTGCAAAAATGTATCCTTCTACATAGTACACTAATATCGTTTATAATCTTAAGCCAAGTTTAAACCCTACGCTTACCAGAAAAACTAACA